TTTTTTCTTTTTGTGATATTGTGAACGAGCATTTTTGGACTGAGCGCAGTTTCCAATCGAGTTCAAACTAGTTTTCTACAAAATGCATGTACGTATATAACATCCTTGTTTTTCTCTTCTGCAGCCTTCAATACTTTTTAGTAACTTTTTGTGAAAAGTTAGTCCTGTAGATCAGAACTAAAAAGTAACTTTTAAATTATTCAAACTAATTCTGTATAACAAGCTGACTAGAAGTACAAAGTATTATAAATCAAATTACACACATACACATGCAACTAAAATGTATAATGACCAAAATGCACTGATTAAACAAATGGCTACCTTCACCATAAACGATATTGTCAGCCTTAAACCATTATATTTTATGAGATTCAGCAAGCTTAGGAAATGTAGATTTGTCGCGTATCTATATACTAACCTAAAAAAAGCACAATAATTTCCATAATTGTATAATTCAATAATAATAACATTCCAAATGATTTTAATCGTTATTACCAATAATATGAATGAAATTAACTTTAAAGAAAAATGGAATTCGTCATTTCTTACCAAATATATACAGACCAGTTACTGCTTTTATGTGCTGTCACCTATCTAATAGAAAAGCCTTAATTTTGTTTTTGATCTTTATGGTAACCATACCATTATGCTATGAATATCTTTTCCTAGTGAAGAGTGACTGTGATAAATTACATTTGTCAGCAGACAATAGTGTTAGGGTTATTGTATTTTTAAACTAGTTAGAGTACTCGTCCTCTGTACTAAAGTTATGTAAATTCATGATTGAGTAAAGGTTATCTTAGGACTTGAAAAGTTGCTTCCATTATATGTAATTGTAAAAAAAACAACAACGTAAAAACGCCAATAAAAACTCCAAAATACAAAATGTGAAACCGTAAATTTGTATGTATCTCCGCATGAACCCAACAAACCTTCATGCCAAACTTGGTGAAGATCCATCCACAGGAGGTGGTATAGTGGTTAAAAACGCAGAAACGACCATAAAACCGCAATCCGCAAAACTGAAGATTTGTATGTATTTCCCCATGGACCCAATGAACTTCCATACCAAATTTGGTAAAGATTCATCCACACCCTGCGAAGTAGTTAAATGGACATAGAACAGACAGTACTACTATTATATTTATATAGACACTAAGATCTTTATTCGGTTCCTTATGGCTTTTGCGAGAGAAAAAAAGAGTGTTTAATAGTATTTCAACCATACTATGTCTGCCATATCCACTTCCAAAACAACTGTTACCCTAACAAATAGCTTGTATAAAGAACGTTCTGACCACTACCGTGCTTCGGTGTTGTGCATTTTATGTTGATTGGCTAAGGAATAAACCTTAGACGAATAAAAATAATTCTAAATAATTTGAACATCTATTTGATATTAATAATCATGCCAGAACTATTTAATTAGCTTCACTAATTTGTAATTTACTTTTTAGTTTTGATCTATAGAGTTAGTATATTTTTGATCATAATTTGTTGACAATTAAGATACTTGAGTCGTGATATGTTAATCAATTCTGTATCATTTGAATTAATATGCGAAGTTTCATATCATATATGTTTTTTATTAAAACTTTAACAAGTCTATGTAGTAGGTCTAACTGAAAAACGTATTTAGTTTTATTTTGTAATAAAACAGCGTAAAGGTTAAAAGACTGGTTTATGATTAAAATTGTCCGAAGTTATTTTTACATTGGTGTTATTTTTCAACCATCAACTCAAATTAACAAACGAAAGTTGGTATCGTGCGAGGCCAATTGCCAAGTCCTAGGCATGGTACAAGTTTGTTATTATTTAAGAATTAACGTGTTTATATTACAGTTTACGAAACCAAACGATGAAGGAAATCTGAGTGATAGTGTTAACAACTTCTACACTTTTTGTTCAGTAACTAAGTTTCTTAGTCTAGATCAGGGATAGTTTATTCAAACTCTTTGGAGTAGTAAATTTTAATGTCTTAATTGCTTCATAATTTCGAGTTTGGTATCGAAAATAATACATTAGAAAGGCTACGTTAGATAATCATATCTGTATCATTTTTATAAGGTACGTTGTATTATTAATTGTGATGATGAGCAATATCACGATTTCAATTTAAATACACTGCATTTAATACTAATATATGTATCTGTGAGAGCCTGAAATGTTTTTTTATTCTATAAACGAATTGTTGTTAGGAAACTATTTGATTTGTCATTTGGATTCACTTTTCCTTCCTTTGAATTTCAAGACTTGCCAAGATTTGTTTTGTTAATGTTTGTTTTTTCTTTTGAAATATAGGATGTTTATAAGTTATAATTATAGTCTGCTCGTAGCTGTTTATTTTGCCATAAAATTCAATATATTTTTATAGCAAGTAATCTTACAATAGCAAGAATGTTATTAATTATGGTTTTCGAAAAATATGGGATTAATAAATTTATTATTCCAAAATTTTATGATTTACCGAAAGCTCATAAAGAAGATAATACCATTTCGACATACTTTATGTATCGCTGGAGTTCCTACTTTTAATTTAGCTAAATATTTGACAGATAGTTTAGCATTTCTCATTAAGTTAAATACGTTTACATGTAAAATATTTCAAATGAATTTGTTTTAAAAAACGGAGAGTATGGCTTAAAATTGATATAATAAGATTCAATGTGTGTGTGTGTCACTTGAGTCCTCCTAAACCGCTGGTTGTACCGACTTCTAAACGGTACAAAACGAACGGTTTTCGTTCCGAGGTTTGCACAAAGGTAGATTTTTTACCACATCCCATGGGGAGCTCGGGTATTTCCCGAATATTCCTTCTCCTAAACTGCTAGACTCACCAACTTCTAAGTGGTGCCAAACGGATCGTCCCGGCCCCGAGATTTGCACAAAAGTAAAACTTTTCACACAACCCTTTAGGGAACCTGGGTATTTCGCGAAAACACTTTTGCGGGGATTCCCTGAAAACGGACTCCAAATTTGGCATTGATTTACATTAGAGCACGTAAATAAGTAGACCTATAATTACCGTTCGTATCTTGGTTAGAGAAACTAAATTTCCGTTATAATTAAACTGAAAAAGTGCAAAATAGTAGTTCAAGGATTAAACTTGGATTATAGCGGCCTTGTAAACGTGGCTCATGGGTTCGCTAGTGTTTAATAATGGCCATTTTTATGTACATCCTTTATTTAGTTATGTGCCAATCAAAGGTGCTATTGAATATTTGGAACTAGGAATGAAAAAGTAAAGTATTTGATAAATAAATTACGGAATTCTGTAATGTGGTAAACTTTTATGTAACTACCATATATTTTCAGTTCAATTTTATGAACAAAGAAAAGAATGTGGAGAATCAGAAGTACACAATTTCTATTGTCACGTGATATACTTAGAAGTTTATAAAGTTATAGTAAAATGATTTAAGAGCCTCAACGTGTCATTACAATCGGTGTCGTCATGTGGTGTCATGTTCTATCTGACAACTATGCTTTTAAATAACCCTTCAGTGTAGCTTCCATTGCAAAAGACTCCGTCGTAAGACTGTTATGTCTAAAGCACACTTTTCCTCCTTGATTCTTTCCATAATTTGTCTAGTACAGGAAGAAGTTTCCACACGGCCATTTCCACAGTCCAGTCTTAGAGAAGCCCATAGACGTTGCGCCTGGCGACTTGACTGGTATATTTTCGTAGGGAACAGTATAATATTCGTTTCATTCTCTAGCTGCTTGATGCGTGCGACAGTTGAATGGAAATGTTGTGGAAGCTCTTTTTGTACACTTGACTTGTTACTTTTCCAGCTAAAGAAATTTCTTCATTATGTAACTTACTGGTGACTGGTACACATGGACTTTTTTCACTAACTTTTGTGTTTCTGGATTCTCACCAGTTGTAAGAAGCCCCATTTTCTTACCATGGATGGGTTACGACTTGTTGCAGGTCTCTTTCGTGATGGTCCTGGAACCCCAAGTTGATCCATATTCCTTTGTTCTCCAATACAGTTAGGTACAAGGGATATCCTATGTCTTGAACATTTTAGATCTCGAATCTATAAATATCTTTATGAAGTGACCAGTCTTTGGTGGCATTACTTGACCTGCGAAATGCCAAATAAAGTGAAAATTTGGTTTGAATACATGTTGTCCCACTGCGACTTAACCATTAGTAGCCGTGGTTGTTACGTGACTTGCTGATCTGCATATTCAAAGTGGTTTTAATAAAATTTATTTAACCCTCTGTACCTTGTATGTCATTACTACTGGACCCTGCTGTTCTAAAACAAAAATTAATCAGGTGACAAATGCATGCACCAGTTAGTTATGTTTGTAGAAAGAGTGTTAATTATAAGATATTATATACTGTAGTAAGTAATTAGAAATTCAAGCCTATATCTTTTGCACATTTTTATTACACTTTTAAACTGAACATGCAAGGAGAACAAAACAAATATTGCTTATAAGTTTTACATTTAAAAGAAATGGAGAGTATTTTAAGAAAGTCTAAATAAGATTTACTTGTTTAAATAGATTAATATATAAAATAAATAAAATAAAACATATTGTTTACTTTCTGTCCATCGATCTGTTTTTAATAGTATTATCCTATAACTTGAAATTTTTAAAATTATTTACATTTTTCAATAGGTAATATTTCTGCAATATTTAAATACCTCATGAGCTGTTTAACTATATTCTTATGCCTTTAATCTTTAGTGATATCAAAGCATCTGTAAGTAAACTTTGGTTAACAAATCGATCTTGTGAGTGATATCTCGTCAAAGCATGAGATCTAAAGCAATGCATGCTATGATAAGGTACCATCTAAAATAGTATATTTATAATTTATTATCTAGAAACATGCCTTAATTATGAGCATAAATACACCAGAAGTCTAACAGGACAGTATGCCTTATGTTCAGTAACTAACACTTATATCCCGGTTAATAATACGACTGCTTGTAGATTACTGAAACCTTTTCTTTTGATCATCTGAGTTCTCTACTTACGTCTGGGACTTGAGTCAGAAACGAGTTCCTTTTTATCAGCCTCTGACACATTACTGCTCCTGTCGCTGGCTCCTTTAGAACTCCTTTTTCCATATTGATATTCATAATCGCTTTCAGACGCTGAGCCTTTTCTGCTAGCTTCCTCACTGGAATCCCTAAAACACACACACACAAAAACAAAAAAACGACCGTACTGCTTTCATGTTCATTAAGAAGCGAGGACACTTACAACTAAGAAACGTTCCCATTACGAATATCGTAAATAAAAAGCATAAAACCCATTTTTCGTTGCTTATCTTTCAATTACTTTATTAATTTTTTTTTTGCTAACGAAATTAAGAATACTGTTCATCAGTTTTATGATACTAATTCCAATTAGGGATACAAGATGCATAACTTTTCGAAGAGTTAATGGCTCGTGTACAAAAGTTTGTTTGTTTGTAGTTAAGCAAAAAACTACACAATGGGCTATTTGTGCTGTGCCCACCACGGGTATCGAAACCCGGTTTCTAGCGTTATAAGTCCGAGACTTACCGCTTTGCTACTGGTGGGGTGGGGTGGGGTGGGGGGCAAGTACAAGAGAAAGATCATTAAACACACTGACAAATTCTATAGCAACGACTAATTCCTTTGTTTTGCCTAAAGGAAAAAAAAGTCTTAGTTATTTCTGTAACTTGTGGATGAACTCTATATATTAATATTTAAATTATTTTATTGACTTTTAGCATATCAAACTGAGCTTTATTTGGCTCATGCAAGTGGTTTGCTCACGAGCGTTGGCAAATACCGCTTTTTAACCATTATTACCGAACTTTTAAGCTCACAAGTTACTGGCCAGTCAAAAAATCTGGTTTTCACCTAAGTAGAACTTATCATCCCATTCCGCATTATTTTCGTTTGCACAGATGTGTTTGTTAGGTACTGCAAAATTACTTTATCATACAGTTTAGGGTTACACAACTTCAGGTTCATATACATTAGTCAGAAAAGGGCTGTGAACACATGAAATATAAGTTTACGACGCTTCTAAAATACTAACGTAATCAATATTCTTATATTTGTTTTCACATATAGAGCAAATATTCATGTTTCTAATTACCTATCGATTATTAATTGATCTGTTTTGTGTTATAAATTTCAGTTTATTTCACTAACATGTTTAATTTTAAACAAAACAAAAACAATAACAACATTGATATAAACAGCCATGATTTTTAATTTCATTCTTTAGATATTACACTGAAATAATTCATCGAACATCGTTTGTATTGAAGTATTTGAGAATATAAATCCTAATATTAATACATTGATTGGTGAAAAACAAAAAAGGGCCATAATATTTCTTTATTGGCTTCGTAAGAGATCATTTTTAAACCTATATATTTCAGACTGGAATTTTTCCGAAAATAAACACGAAATATTTCTATCACTTGCCTACTATTATTTTAAGATTTGCTAAATTTATAACACTTATCAGTCTTATAGCGAAGTAATATCACACAAACTATCGAGCAACAGATCATGCTTCGCCGATATAAGGCGTTATATATTCTGTGATAATATATATTTTGTAAATGACTAAAATATAAATAACGTTTAATTGTCGGTTTTAGCACAGAACCATACAATATTCTATATGCGCCCTAATTACCGCGGGGAATCGATTTTAGTTGACCCACCAGGAGACAAATAACCTTTAGATCGAAGTTTTGTGTATTGCATGACCAGCCGACGAGCTCTGGTACTATGCGAAAGGCCTCCTCAGCAGTGGCGCACGAGGTGTGTAATCGAGAAGCTATCATGTTCTTTTTACTGGAAACCCGTATATGGCCAGTAATGACGTTATATACCGCAAGGGAAAAAATAGGCGTATGCTAGGAAGTTTTTCATAACGTTACGTACCTTTCTTCACTTACATCAGAAAGATCTCCATATTCCACAGGATTCATGCATGCTGTACACATGTTGTTTATATCCGTAAAACAGTCCATGCAGTAGATGGCTAGAAAGTGTATAAAATAGATAAAACTGTACGTAAGTCTTAGTTCTATACCTATTACTAGTGCACTACGCGAACATTATATCACAATAGTTATTACTAGGAGCAACTTGATAAGGAACTGTATATCTTAGTTCTATACCTATTACTAGTGCACTACGCGAACATTATATCACAATAGTTATTGCTAGGAGCAACTTGATAAGGAACTGTATATCTTAGTTCTATACCTATTACTAGTGCACTACGCGAACATTATATCACAATAGTTATTGCTAGGAGCAACTTGATAAGCATACAGTTCATTTTATCTTCATCTAACATGCATCTTTTACATGTGACAAAACTAAGTTCGAAAATACTAAATAATTTTGTTTGGACATCATTTTTAAACTTTTATATTTCAGATTAAAAGTTTTCGGAAAACAAGTTTCTAGTTTTATTTTTCATTTACCTAATATTACTTGAAACTTTTATTAGAAAACTTAAACATCTGATATTCAAATAAGTGTTGTAAATATTGGTATTATTTCTTAAGCACATACAAAAATAAACTGGCCCGGCATGGCCAGGTTGTTAAGGCACTCAACTCGCAATCTGAGGGTCGCGGGTTCGAATCCCTGTCACACCAAATATGCTCGCCCTTTCAGCTGTGGGGGCGTTATAATGTGACGTCAATCACACTATTCGTTGGTAAAAGAGTAGCCCAAGAGTTGGCAGTGGGTGGTGATGACTAGCTGCCTTCCCTCTAGGCTTACACTGCTAAATTAGGGACGGCTAGCGCAGATAGCCCTGGTGTAACTTTGCGCGAAATTAAAAAAAACAACAAAACAAAAACTCTAGCCATTTCATAATTGACTGCCATGACCTAGGTTAATTATGTATATATACAAAGACAAATATACTAATACCTTTGCACTTGGGTGTACTACACGATTTGAAATTTCTCACGTCCTCTGGTAGCCCTGGTTCTCCACAAACTAGGCAGTACTTCCTGGATATTCCAAAAAGTTTCAAAATGCGGCCGAATTTAGGATTGCTACAATATGGCGCCAAAAAAATGAAAGAATAGCAAACTTTAAAGTCTACAGTGACAGCCTAGAATTCATACATCTTTGTTTCCAAATCATTAAGCATAGCTTCAAAAAGTGTTTTTTTTTTTTTTGGAATAGAACAAACGACAACATGTGTTTATAATTTACTTGCTTAATAATTTCTGTAGCTATTTCACAATCAAAACTGCGCCAAATATTAACGCTTCACTTCTATATTCTAGAGAATTAAAAAGACATATTCAGTTAATTTACGAAAAATAATCATTAAATTCCTTTTACAGATTTTTGAACCAAATCTTTATAGTGTGTTCTGTATACACGTAAAAGCTTATGAGAAATCTCACTGTACAAGACTCATTCTTTATTATTTCATTCATTATTAGCACATATAAGCATATGCTTCGAGAATCAACTCCAAGAAAATGGGTTAGTATTTTCCCCATAATATTAACAGTCTTTTCGTAATCCAATTTAGTTAGTTGTTTCTCATTTTCTGCCTCCCCCCCCCCTTAGTGGCACGGCGGTATGTCTGCGGACTTACAACGCTAGAAACCGGGTCTCGATACACGTGGTGGGCAGAGCACAGATAGCCCATTGTGTAGCTTTGTGCTTAACTTCAAACAACCGTTCTCATTTTTAATAGCTCAAATAGAATACCCATTCATTTCAAAACAATTGCGGATTAGAGAGTCTGAGGTTCGAGTTGCAGTTGATGTGTCGCACAAGGTACCGTCTAGGTCTAAGTTTCCATTTTTTCTTAATGTTTCTCAGGTTTCATTGATACTACCCCCCCCCCCCCCAAAAAAAAGGATTATTTTTCACTTATAAACTCAATATACAAATTTTAAGTTGGATATGTAGTAATTTGGCAATATATATCAGAAGAAACACAAAAACATCTCCTACATATATGTGCATCAGTGTTTGAATTTCGAAAGGCAAAAATTTTAAAAATCACTTCTATTATTTTCTGTGGAGATAATTTGTCCGTGAACCTTGTCAATTATTGATACATGAAATGAGTAGTTGTTAAACAAAAGTTTAGTAGTATTTATGTTTTTTTTATTTCCTGTGTAACTAGTTCTTGCTCCATATCTGTATCGTTATGAATTTTTTTTCAGTTGGAATTTGACAACCCAATTCAACTGGGATCGAATCAATATGGCAACGAAATCATGAAGTCATCAATTTTAACATTAGTTGCTGAACGTCATTAATCAGTTACTAAGGGTGCTAACATGACAATGCATTTGTATTACTAATAGGGATATTAAATCGTCTAACTCGCGAAAAACATTATCAGTCATTAAAGGAAACTTTGTCATGAATAGTTCATAAAATATTAGAATGTGACTTTTTTTACACTACAAACTACATGCTTGTAATGCAAAAATTAAGCTTTCTACAAGCTGAAGATGTGGGATTTATATGTATTATAATCATCTTAATAGGTTTTTTTTCTCGTCATATTTAGGCCTGACATAGCCTGGTGGTTAGGGCGCTCGACTCACAATCTGCGAGTCGCGGGTTCGAATCTCCATTACCGAACATACTCACCTTTTCGGCCGTGAGGGCGTTATAATGTGACAGTGAATCCCACTATTCGTTTGTAGAAGAGTAGCTCAAGAGTTGGCGGTGAGTGGTGTTGACTAGCTGCATTCCCTCTAGTCTATCAGTGCTAAATTATGGACGGCTAGCGCAGATAGTCCTCGTGTAGCTTTGCGCGAAATTCAAAACGAACAATATAAATCGTCGTAATTAAGTCTACCGAGAACCACACACACATATTTGATTATCTGCTGGCAGTATAAGAACTGAACTCGGTTCACTTAAAATTTTACATTCAAAACTCGCAAAATTACCTTTAGTGGTTTGTATTTACTTGTTACATTCACTTACTGACCTTTCAATCTTCTACACAAATTACCAAAGGATTCTAAGGAACCAGTTCAATGTTTGATCAGTGTCATAGCTAGGAAAAAACAAAAAGTCTGTAAATATCTTAATGATTTGTATTATAAAGAGACGTAAAAAAATCTAAAAATTAATTTAACTTTTTCTTCTCTGAAATTTTATGGAAGCGTTTTCTTACCCCGGCTATGTCTATAGCAGCCAAAATTAGTGTTGTTTGTTTGTTTGTAATTAAGCTACACAATGGGCTATCTGGCATAGCCTGATGGTTAGAACTCTTCACAAAGTGCAATCTGTGGGGTCGCAGGATCGGAACATGTCGCCTTGAGGTCGTTATAAAGTAAGGGTCAATCCCATTATCCGTTGGCGGTGGGTGATATTGACTAGCTACATTCCCATTAGTCTATCACTTCAAAATTATGGACAGTCAACGTGGACAGGCCTCTAGCAGTTTTACTTGAAATTCAACAAAACAAACCAAAATTTGCTTAGAAAAAAGTTTCCCCTTGTCATAACATACCTATCAGCAAGAGCCACAAGGAATTTTTCTTTTTTTCGCTGTTTCGTCTCCCTTGTACTTTTTCCGTACCTGTCTTCTTAAGTATTTAACTAAACCAGCTCGTGACCTAAGGATATGGTTATATAACCATACAGCTCTCTTTTGTTTCATTTCTGGGTAATAAGATTCTGCTATTGAATGACGGAAACGGAGACCATAGGCCTGAAAGACTGCTAAAAGTATACAAAGTCCAAAAAGTGTCCCTATAATAATAATAATAATAACATTATTATACATATACATATATATACACACACACACATATACATATTCTATGAATAATGTCAACAATAATTTTTGCTATAAAACAATATTTGGCCACTGTTGGTTTTTCTTTGTTTATATAATATTAATATCAAAACATATACTATCCAGTGAAAGATTTGATTTTTTATTCTAGAAAATATGATGGAGGAAACCGGTACTCCATAATCATTAACAAATAAAAAAAAATGGAAAACTTATACGACAAAAAATGGCTAATGCGAAATAGATGTTTTGATATCCACAACGTTTCGGACTGGAACGCCCTCCATTTTGTCGTATAAGTTTTTTCCATTTTTTATTTTCGGTTTCATTGTACCACAGCAGTTTTTTTAGCTGATTTTAGTTCATAATCATTATCACTGATGTGAGATGAATTAATTAGAAACCTTATTTCACATTACACGTTATCTATTTGGTACATTTACAAGCATTTCTTTGGTATACGATAGCTAAGATATATGTTCATAATTAATTATAATTTTATAGATTAAAAGTTTATGAGTCCAAGAAAGGATTGTGATAAAAGCTATTTTTGAATGACAACTGTTACTAATATGTACCTGGAATATTTTTTTTCCACACCTCATACAAATACGGATAGTTTTCACCTATCATTGATTACTTACCAATTCTTGAGTACTGTGCAAAATTTGGGTGGTTTGCTTTTGGAAGGCAAACAGTAGTATCTACTTCTGGTGCAACTTCCATCAATGGGTCGAAACTACTCAGCAAATTTCGATACATATCAGCCAGAACGCCACTTCCATCAACATGCATTTTAACATGGGCGGGTACTGAAATTAGAACATTATAAGTGAAACATAATTCCTGTTTTATAATGTAATATTTTTATTAATTACATAGGGTATTTTGATACATGACGAATATTAAGGTTATTTTTTATTTCTATTATTAAAATCGTTTCTATCGATCTACACACGAAAAACGAAACTGATAAAAACCTCTTTACAAATTATTTTAGAAAACCAAAGAGCTATAATTATTTTTTTTTCTCCTAAAACAGTAAATAGGTTTTACTTGGATTAAACTACTTATTTATTGTCATCAGTATCTACTTATAGTTGCTTACCTTCAGATAGTGTTTTTACGGCACCGTGATGGCGCACCATTTCGAGTAACTTCCACATAGTATAGTCAATCGTTATGTAAACAATTATCTGAATTCCGTGACCAATTAATCCGAATACCGCTGATGCTAAATTTCGCTTTTCGTGTGGCAGTAAACGTACAGATAAAGGTTTTATATATCTTTTGGCTTCACTGTTCGTAAGAGGAAAAATAGTTTCTTTGCCATCCATTGAACGTTTTATATTAAGGTCTATTATTAACCAGCTGAGGTAGTAGTTGTCAAAAGATTCAGACTTCCTAAAACGCCATCTGTACAGAAGAGCTCTGTAAAATGTGTTATCAAAGTAACATTAGGCCTTAAAACGCCATCAGTAAAGACTGGCTATGTAAAAGTTACAATAGACCATAAAATGTCACAAGTAATGAATAGATCTGTAAAAGTTATTACCAAAGTTACATTAGGCCTTAAAATGCCACCACAACAGAATAGACCCGTACAAGTTATAACAAACCCTAAAACGCCACAAGTACAGAAAAGAGCTATAAAAGGTACAAGCAAAGTTATATTAAGCCTTAAAATGCGCTCAATACAGAATAGATCTGTAAGTTAGTAACAAAGTTAGAATAGATTCTCAACGCCACCAACAGTGAACAGATCATTAAAAGCCATTACTAAAGCCACATTAGACCCTAAAACAGCATAAGTACCGAAAAGGTTTACAAATCGTATTACCTAAGTTCAATTATGTCATAAAATACCATCAGTAACTAACAGATCTGTAAAAGTTATTACAGTGTTACATTAAACCCTAAAACACCACAAGTACAGAACATATCCCTAACAGTTACTACCAAAGTTAAATTAGGCATTTTTAATGGATTTCATTGTTTTAGATCTAATATCAAAGGGACTCATTTATAATTTAATTGTGTTACTAATTATAATAAATTTGAAGCTACTTTTGTTCTCTTTGATGCTACTGCTTTTAGTAATATTTAAATTGAAAGAAGGAGATGAGTATTATACTGTTGCTTTTTCTGAGGAGTTAAAAAAAACAATCTCAAATTTAAATGAAGGTGATTTTTATCAATTATGAAATCCGTAACAAAGTACTGACACACACACATATATATATCAGGCAGGCAGTATTACTGCTTATGTAAAGATGGCTCGGATTGTTCATCGAAATGGCATTTTAAATATCTCTTCAATATGTCATCAGAACTTTACAATACTATACAGTGTTTCCCTTTATAAAAATATCTATGCAGTGACTGAGTCACAAGTTTTGGGAATGTCTATAAATATAGCAAAAAGTTTGAATTTCTTGTTTTTTATTCTTCTGCTTCTTTTTTATTACATGATAACTCAAAAACCAAAACAATGGTGTCAACTAATTTCACTGAGGTGACATAGTTTCAAACTGAATATCCGCTTTTATATGTATTATTAAGTAGTAGTAATTTAAAAAATCATAATTTAATTTAAACGATTTTATCATTACCCCTTGAAGTTAGCTTTTTCACAGAACTTTGGTGTTCCTTTAAAAAAGTTTAAGTACAGGATAAAACAGGAATTACCGGGCAATAATAGATAAAACAATAAATATTACAATCGAAACATCATTGTATTTATAACCAAGTATTTATAACTTGGTTATAATTACAACCTTCCTGTATCTATTGAAACACTGCAATAAAACACAACAATAAGCAAACAAGTTCAAAAAAGGAAGTAAATGTGGGGATAGCCAATATCAATCCTTCAAAAACAATGCAAGAAAAATAGTATGGATGACATTTGTACCATTCCTACATAATAGCACAGGCAAGAATTAACATACAGCAATATATATAACTGGACACAGGAAAGAGCCTAATGTGTCTTTGCTCTGAAACAAACAAACAATAAAGGATACAAGTCTCAATCGGCCTGTAACATTCTCTAATTACTGCGTATTTACTAGTTTTACAACACTGGTCCAACTTGCAAAGGAAATGATTCGTATAGTGATCAACATTTTATCATGCTGCAATGCCATTAGTTTTTGTTATGTTGAATGTAATAAAAGTGAAATAAAATAATGAGCAAAATATTATTATTTTTTCGTTGCATAATGCCTCCTTTTCCACACATAGTTTACTTGAAGTATTTATTAAATTAAAACGAAATAATGCTATTATTTTACCAAAATGTGTCTAGGGGTCACTTTGTTTATTGCGAAGAGACGTCAATGGCTAGGATTATGAAGAAATAAAAAGAAGTGGTGTGTACTTTAAATAGTTTGTTTATTTTAAAAGCAAAGCCACATGGGGTTATCTGCTGTGTCCACCGCGGGGAATCGAACCCCGGAATTTAGCGTAAGTCCGTAAACTTACCGCTTTCCCACCGGGGGGACACTTTATACAATATTTGTACCCGAAAAAAAAATTATTTTAAAACTGCAACAAGTTCCTCCAACATCTTAGATTTAGTTTCGTCTATGTATAACATACACATAACGTTCTGGGTCTTTCTTACTAACTTACTTGAATAACAACCAGAACGAAAGCAATACGAGGAAAATATCAATACATTTTATAATTGTTCTGATCCAACACAGGCGACCATGTATTTCATTCACGACTTCCTTTCGAGTGTTTTCTTCAGTGTCTGTTTGTAGTACAGTGTAATTCATATGGTGATAGAGTGTGACGTTAACGTAGAACATCTCCAACATTTCGTTAAGGAAGGCACGGATAGCTTAAAAAATATTATAGGTCTTCGTTTTAAAGAAAATTTTCCATTCTACACAAGAACAAACAGTTCATAAACGAGATAGTACTTAACATTTCTAATGATTTCATGGGCTTAGTAAATGTTAAATATTCTTTAATGTTGGCTGGAGACGGCTTGAATGGGTAATGATGATGACAAAACCGTGTCGAAACGTTGTACATTTGCTGTTGTATTAAAGTTTTTCTTCATTACCCATTCAAGCCGTCTCCAGCCATTATTAGTCTCAAAGTGGGTTCCTCGTCATCGAATTCTTTAATGTTATCCGACTATCTGTTCGGAAAGAAATGGACAACGTTATTTTGTTAAACTTTGCAGTACAGCATTCACGAATAATTATCAGCAGTTGAAAATCAACTCAAACAGTTTTTATTGTCATGTTTTGTTTTTCACTCCAATGACTAGTGTTATCCCTCAAAATGGCAACCGTGCAAGAAAAGGCTCAATGCGATGGATTGGTCGGGGTAGACCAATTCCGTGGCCTTTGTCAGACATCACTCCACTAAACTTCTTTCTTTAGGGGTATGTTAAGGACATCACGTATCGCACACCTATAGCAAACACCATGGAGCTAAAGGCTAGGTTAACGGATTCCATTGCCACTGTAACTGTGGGCATGTTACAGTGAACGTGGAATGAAATTGAATATCGGTTAGACGTGCTGAGAGCCACTAATGGCGCAAACGTAGAAGTCTACTGACGTATCAATAAAAACTCTGTGAGATGAGCTACAATATGCTGAAACCGCATGTTATATTTCTTTAATTATTAAATTTTAAAATAGGAAAGATAATTTTGGGCCACCCTGTACAATACGTGTTTTCAATTATTATATCCAACATATCAACCGTTAGGCTATTCACTTCTACGAAGGTTGACTACGTTTTCTAACTTTTTCTTTGGCCGCACTTCTACTTCCCGTGACTTTCTCGTCTGCTCTGTCTGTCTGCTTTTTTTCCGATCGTCTCACACTATTTATATGTTTATCACTTAATCGTCTGCCTGTCTTCTAGAAATCTCTATATTCTCAACGTTAGTGTATTGCACGCGACATTCGATAGTCTCAACATCAATGAATTATTTTCAACAATCGTTTCCTTTTAACCCTCTTATTATAAAATACACTAAACAATCAAAGATATTAACTCACAAAACAAATTAATTAATACTACCTACCCTAAACATTCTTTTATATCATGACATTCTTGGCTCATTCAAGCATGAGAGTTTCTAAAAGCTCCCCAATCGCATTTTTGTAGATCTCACGATTCGTTCAATTTATTATTATTATTATTATGTGAGAATCAAGAATCTATATGCAAAATTTCGAGTAGTTTTGACAAATATTGTGGGTGGAATTCAAAAGTCGAGTACAACATACATTTGATAAGTGATATTATCAAGGTATACGAATATCTACATATTAACATTAAATACACGAATATTTCAATCATACCGTTTTATATATATATATTTCCCACAAACCGGAAAGTCATGCATTTTAAATCTCGAATCCAGTATAACATTTCTTTTGTCGTGAAATAATACTTACGGCCTGCCCAGCGTTTCAGCAAATTTGATGACAACCTTTTCGAGATTGCTTTTGGAATTAGACATAGGACTTTTATAACTAAAGAAAAAAAAAGAGATACATTTATAAATGTTAATAAAACGTTTATATTGTGATAGTCTCAAAGCTGAACATATATCTCTTTGTATATTTAGAATGATAAAAATCTCGAATATATTTGGAAAAATAAAACAAAACATGGTGACCTGACCATAATTATAAGCAAAACATTAACATAATAAATATCTGTAAACAATCACTGTCTGTCATAAAATCTTTCTATTATCATATTAAATTATAACTGGACCTCTTCCATAACATATAAAGGTTGAGACGATAGAAGCATTTTGTGACCTTGAACTCTAACCTAGTGATTGCACCCGCTATCAGATAGACGTTCAAGTTTATAGTAATGTCTGTAGAATCTTACTAACAGAATACTAACTTCAAAATCTGAGACCGAAGAAAGATTTAATTGGGCGAAACAGGTGAATGGTACATAGAATATTTCATTTCTAAAAATCAGAAGTCAGGTGATTAAGGCGCTCGAATTGCAGTCTGCGGCCGAATATGCTGACCCTTAAAGTTGTGGGGGCGTTGTAATGTGATGGTCACTCCTACTTTTTTTTCTTTGGTAAAAAAAAAACTTTCCCAAGAGTTGGCGGTGGGTGGTGTTGACTGGCTGCTTTCCCTCTAGTCCATCACTTCTAAATTAGGGAAAGTTAATGTAGCTAGCATTCGAGTATCTTTGCGCGAAATCCCGAAGACAAACTAAATAAATCAGAAGATTGTCATGAATCTTATAAGCTGAAATTATTATCTTTCAAGTTCATTTTTATGTATTTTCAAATTCGCAATAACATTTCAAAACATTTCCAGACTCAAGAACGTCATATAAGTTTTGAGACATCTGGAAGTAATATACAATTATTCTGTTGGAAAACAAAGATATATATAGTTCTAGCCACCAGGTGTCTCTTCTCTCGAACCAAACTGGATAAAAACTCAGATTCCACGTCCAGCACTGTCAGACACACTTCACAAAGTTGTGATCAAAGTGTGTGTGTGCTATCGATTTCAAAATTATCGACTCTGCTAAGTGATAGAGAAAAAAAATCTTTGAATTAAATAATGCTTGCTGGTCATCGATTAAAACCTACTTTGAATACGTGAGCGCGTTGAAACTATAGGTCAGATCACAGTGACGAAATGTTTGATCTTTAAATGTTAAATGAATTATAAACGTTACTTTTTTGTTTATTATCGCTGTATCTATAATAATAAAAGGGCGTGTATATGTGTGTGTGACTGTCATAACTCTATGAGGAAAGAACCTAGAAATCTGAAATTTTGCACTCTTACTAAGTGGATCATCAGGGTGTGCACCTGGGTATTATTACTTATTCACGCGCGTATACATCTTTTTAAGGCAAGGTTGCGAAAAACAACAGAGAAAAGAAATGGTTCCTTATATTACAAAGTAGCGAAAGTACCCGGCTTCGCTTGGGTTATTAGGTTGATAGTGTGTGTTTTCTGAACCCATTTTAGCATAAAAGTATAGCCTATATATTTTTGTTGCTAAGCAACATGACATAAAAGCAGCTGTTGGAACATATTGTTACCAAAATGCACTGACTTTTATATATATTAGAAGTTGTTATATATAAGGAACCACTTCCTTTCTATGTGGTTTTTTTGCTAGCTTGCCTCATAAAGAGATGCGCACGCGCACGCACATAGATGAGTAATAATACCAAGTTGCACACTCCCAGGGTCCATTTAGTATGGGTGCAAAATTCAGGTTTCTAGGTTCTTTCCTATTGGAAACCTAGAAACTTGAAATTTTGCACTCTGGGGGTGTGTACCTGGGTATTACTTATCTTATCTATGTGTGTGCGCGCATGCGCATCTTTTTAATGAGGCAAGCTAGCAAAAAAACACATAGAAAATAAGTGGTTCCTTATATAACAACTTCTAATATATAGTGTGTTTTGGTAACAATGCATTCCAACAATGGCTTTTATGTCATGTTGCTTAGTAAGAAAAGTATATACAGCGTCATATATAAGTTATACTTTTATGCTAAAATGGGTTCAGAATATACACACTATCAACCTAATAACCCGAGCGAAGCCAGGCACTTTCGCTAGTATCAAATATTTTAAAGCATTGATTGTAGGAAATTTTTATCCACAAAGTGCAGTAAACGACTCAATCATTATATACATTTAGCGGCGTAACTTTATACGAACATTTAAATATATATATATATAAGTACATCAGTTGCTGAGAAACCTACTTTTTGCAATTTCACAGACCCAAGATACAATGGTGACGATGAAGCACAAAAACTCCAGGATCCAAGGAAGAATGTCTTGACAGCTGGTAACAGCGTCATCAAATGCTTTTTTACACTTTCTATATGGTCCTCCCATTTTCTCGTTACAGGAGTTAACAAGCTCATTTAACCATACTGCTATACGCTTAAGTGCTCCAACTGAGAACAATCAAAGGAGATAAAATATGAATAAATAACTTGTAAGATCAAACTATATAATAAAGAACAACTTAAGCACGTACAAAGGAATATTTTACAAACAGACATGGTAGGTATACTATTTAAAAAACAAAATTCTTAATAGTACATGTTTAATACATATTGAAATGTAATGAAGTTAGGAATGAAACAGAAAAACAAACAAAAACTTCCAATAATATAATACAAAATAATAATGTTTTCGGGATCATACATATTAGTAAAATTTTGTCATTTTATATATATATATATATACACTATCGTACCAAAAGTCATGGGATACAGGTAGTTATGAATAAAACATGGCCTTATTCCAAGAAATGAATAGTGTGTTGGCCCGCCTTTGGCTTTAATGACTGCTTCAGTGCGTCAAGGAAGACTGTCTACTAATTTGTCGTAGAAAGCTGGTGGTACTGTGCTCCACTCCTCTTTAAAGCGCCAGTAAGCTCCATTACTGAAGAGGACCGTCTTGGGATTGCACTAAATCTGCATTCCAGTTCATCCCAAAGGTGTTCTATCAGATCACTGCAATGTTCCGATGTTATTCTCTTAAAACCATGCGTTCACAATCCTTGCTTTGTGACATGGAGCGTTATCATGTTGGAAGGTGTAAGGGCTGGTACCATAAAATTGCCACAATGTAGGACTCAGCATTCATGGATCCATGCACTGTGACAAGTTGATCTAGTCCATACCACGAGAAGCACCTCCAGACCATGATACTGTTACCTCCAAACTTCACTGTTGGGACAACACACTCAGGTAATAAGCGTCTTCCAGGCATCCTCCATACCCAAACACGTCCACCAGACTGGAAGAACGTTTAGCGTGACTCGTCGCTCCACAGGACCAATTTTCATTGATCCACGGTCCAGGCTCGGTGGGCATTTGTTTTTGTTATCAATGGCTTGTGGGCTGCAGCTCTTCCGTGAAAATTCATGGCATGCAACTCTCGACGTGTCGTGGAAACATTTATAGAATTGCCTGTGGCTGCTCGCATCTCCAAACACAGATTCTCTAGGGTCTGACGGCGAGATGAGGTAACCAGCTTTCTAAAGGTGCGTCGGCTCCTGTCAGTTAGTATTTTACGCCTACCTGGTCGTTTCTTGGGCTCATTGTCACCCGTGGACTTCCATTTCTTCAGCACTTTGCCAATTGTCGACTTGGGAATGTTTAATTGTTGCGCAATAGCTCGTACAGAAAATTTTCCCAAATGACATCCAACTATCTTTCCCCTCTGAAACTCTGTTACCTCTTTTTTGTGTACTCATCGTTCAGCGTACAAGTTCGAAATGGCTTCCGACGACCCACTGATCCCCTCTATAGACCAAACTATTTGCACATTTCTTCGTCACACCCATTTTCCTGCAATCAGTGGTGTGTCCCATGACTTTTGGTAGGATAGTGTATATAGTTCTGAATATTAGATTAAATACTTTCCATTCGAGAGATTTACGCCTGAGGTTGATTCTTAAAACTATAACCATTTTATCCATTTATAGGACTTTTTAAATTAATGCCTTGTTAATTTACAATGTTCCTTTTTTTTTAATATGGGAATGCTACGAATACTTACTAATTTCATCAAAGAGATCTTTAATGGCAACAAACGCTTTTCTCATTTGGGAACTAAAGTCAACCAAGGCCTGAATTACACTTCGTATGACTTTCACTACCCCTGCAATAATTAAAGTGTGTAGTCTAAATAAAATAAATATATTTTTTCAGTATATAACCAATCACATTACATAATATTGTTTTTAGACATATAACAATCACAACACTAAGATGTATTCACTGACATAACCGGTGGAAATGTAACACTCTTCACCAACGATACTCTCTGATTATCAGTATATAAACGATACCAATGACATCACGTGACATTGTTTTGAGACGTTACAATCACAACACTAAGATGTATTCATTGGCATAATGTAACCATGACGACTTACCAGACAGCGGAGATGTGATATCTTGCAGCAACGATCTAGTCTCATTAGAAATTCTTTCCTGCCCACATGCAATACTTTCTGTCAGAACGTCAATGTTTAGAATGGCATTTTTCATGGGTCCACTCAACAGCAGTAAGTAAATATAAGCTATAACTGCGTTTCTTCCTTGCTCTGCTCAGGGTTGTAACAAATATATGTGCTTTCAATATGTGTCAAGAAATACATTGTACGAGTACAAAGTTCTTATTTATACATGAAATATTTTACATAGTTATTCTTATGTAGAACATATTGTAATGATACCATTCACAAATAGTTTATCTTTTTTAAACTAATATTTATACAGCACACTCGGGGGCTTTTTTTCAGCCTTTTTCCTGAGAAGAATCCTATCACCTAACATGAGAACGTTATAAATGTCAAAATCAATCCCACTATTCGACCATAATAGCCCAACAGCTGGCGGTGAGTGGTGTTGACTATTACTTTTAAATTAAGGACGACCATGATTGTACAAAAATGTCTAAAGTGATCTATTTTTATGGGGACCCAGCCTTTTCATAAAGATTTCGTGTAGAAGTTTTCAAAAGGCCTTGGGGGATAAGATCCTATGCATGGAAGGAAAACCATACATAGTTTTAAGAAATTGCTATATTTCTAATATAAAATAAGCAGCAAAAAAAAAAAGAAAAAAAAAAAGAAGCAAACAAGTTAAAAAGACGCATAGAATTTTATCCAACTTACTTGAAAATAATTCGGGTAGCATCAAAAACAGAACACATCGCACGTGAATGTGAAAAGCCAATCCAAGTGAGAGGAAAAATCCCATAACTATGCAGATTGGTGTAGCAATCGGCGGTGAGATATCAAGTTGGAACACCAGGAAATCTTGTATCAGGAATACGATGATTACGCCAGCTATAAACCCTAGCAGGCTTTTTATCATGGTGTTCGCGAACGTATCTGGTGTGAATAATTGTCTGTGTAATATAAAGTTAAATGTTGAAGAAATAAAATAAAGTTTAACCAAATAATTTACAGGTAACTTAACTGCTGTTTATAACTGAAGTAGGTTATAGTAATCTTATTTTTACAGCTATGAAAGATTGGGAAGTATACTAAAGTTACCACTACAAAAAAAAAAAAAAGATTCAAAGAAATCTTAATTTCTACTTTCAGATGTAAAAAAAAACCACAACCGCTTCTGGAAATACCTGATGATATTGCCCTTTTTCCGTTTTCTTTTTTTCTCCCATTTCCGTTCTTCCACGCAACATGGACAAAAAGCCTTGCAACAAAATTCCCTCACTAATTTATTAACGAACATCCAGAAACGCTCTAACAACGAATATACCGGCTTTTCACCTCTGGATATCCTCCACGCATTTAGCTTTTCACGTTCTAACTGTTTAATGGCTCTTTTCAGTCTATATGAATCCAACCACAACTGGAAAGCTCGCCCAGTTGAAAAAAACAGACTTATCATCTTCTTAAGTTAACCTGTAACATATTATATACACCAGTTAAACGGAATATGATAAGATACTAATATGTGTTTTCAAGTTCAAAGTTTCTCCGTTTTTTAAACTGAAATTTCGCATTTTAAACATAAATTTCTAAATAGTATTTTACTCATACAGCGTCTACTTAAATTTAGCGAATAGATTGAGTATGTTATATTGAAACGAATTTTAATACGTAATTCAGCAAGTCACGCGACCATCAAAGATGATATAAATAAGCTGTGGAACGGCATGTATCAGAACTATATTTTGACATTGTTTGGTATTTAATAGGTAGTGTATGCTAAAAATTAATCGTTCTTGGGAAAGATATGCAATAGAGTTTTCCGACCCATAATGTCCATACATTCGGATCATATAGATGGGTTTACATCTGAGGCTTAGAATTTCCAAGACGAGGATAGCCATAATGTCGTTGGTTAACAAAGGATTGTCGCACCATAACTTATAAGCATAAAATATATGGAAGTACTGTGGTTCTTCTCCCCTGGCAAAGCTCAACCCCTGGAGAAAAGCAACCCAGTGAAAGTTTAATACTTGTTTTACGCTTCAATTCATTTTAATTTGGGGGCAAATGAAAAAATAAACTATCAGTTTTTAAAGTATTTAGCAATTGTATAGGACCAAGATGTAACCGTAATCTTGGTCTCCCGCAGGAAATAGTAAAATTCGGCACATATGGCAGGACCATCCAGAAAGACACCTGCAACCAGATGTACCTCAGCCGTGCGGCTTCTTGTAATATGTGAAAGAGGTAAAAGACGGTCACGTGCCCTAGACAATAGTATGAGCATAATTGAGAAGGGGGGTCTTCATCTGGAAAAATGTTCAATCGTAGCATACTTCAAGCATTTTCAGAATGAAACAGGTATTCATGCTATCATAGAAAGCCATGCCGGTAAAGTCGCCGGATGCAGTGCTTGTGGATTTCTGTGCGAGTGAAGTCTTAAACGGTTGAGGAGAAACGTCTTCATACTACAATAGATAGATTATGGAAGGAAGCAGGAAGAAGAAGTCTCCTTAGGAAATTACAGCCTTATGACACAGTCTTTTGCAATGGAAACTGCGCCGCAGGGTCATTGTCAAGATGCACGTTCGTCAGGTAGAGAACTACCGGACGTGACTGCATGAACAGTAACAATGTAATGGCTCGGCAAGGCTAGTTGGTTAGGGCGCTCGACTCGCAATCTGCGGGTTCGAATCCCCGTCCCACCAAACATGCTTGCCCTTTCAGCCGTGGGGGTGTTATTATGTGACGATCAATCCCACTATTCGTTGGTAAAAGAGTACCTCAAGAGTTGGCGATGGGTGGTAATGACTCCCCTTTAGTCTATCACTACTAAATAAGGGACGTTTAGAGCAGATAGCCATCGATTAGCTTTGCACGAAGCTCAACAAAATAACCAGCAAGAAGTATAAATTTGAAGAATAAGCTATTTTAATTTTTCAAACTGTGATCTTTTTTATTTTTAGTTGAACCGTTGAGGTTGATCAAACCTGAACTTTTATTACTTTTAACACTGACATTATAAATATTTATGGGCCTGGACTGTGAACCCAAGGATTTATTGTTCACGTCCAGTTGCCACAAAAACACGCTCTGCACTTTGGGGGGTCATGTGTGCGCTACCAGAGTTACGGTCAGATAAGAGTAGTGCGGGAGTTGACGATGAGTGTTCTCGAGAAACGCCTTCTTTGGAGACCAGTGCTTCCCAAACTGTGTGACGCGGCACACAGTTGTGCCGCTGAAGGGTCTCAGGTATGTCGCGGAATTTTTGCAATTATTAAGTAATTTTTATTTAGTTATATAAAATTATCAATTTAACACATTTTTAAAATTTGATTTATTTTCTCCTTGATACACAGTATAACAGTAATTTCTGTCTGTCTTAGTCAGAGGGGTGGCACTAAGCCTGCCATACGAACTTATCTACATGTGCCGCGAGCTGAAATGGTTTGGGAAGCACTGCTGTAGTGTATCAGTTCAAAATTAGGGGTTTTTGTTATGGATTTCGCGCAAAGCTACATGAGGGCTATCTGCGCTAGCCCTCTCTAATTTAGCAGTGTAAGACTAGAGGGAAGGCAGCTAGTCCTCACCACCCACCGCCAACTCTTGGGCTACTCTTTTAGCAACGAATAGT